AAATTCAAACAGTTGGAAAACACCTGTTTACAAAAGCAGTCAAACCATTTACACAGACTTCTCAATGCACCGTCTTCACTCTCAGACAGTTCCCCTGGAGGAGCTGGTTTTGAGGCGCACCTTTCCAGCCCAGAGAAACCGTCTCGGCTCTACAGAAAGGTGAAAGTCCTCCTGTTTCAGAGATCCCTAACCCAAGGGAGTGACAGAACATGGAAAGTCAGCAACCTGGAGGTGGGAAGTCATCCTGCAAGGTGGGTTGCTGCCTCTGGGAACAGCACTCCTTCCATTCTCCCACCTCCGTCCCTCCCACCTGCCCAGGGCTCCCAAAACACAACAAAACCCAGAGGTGGCCATTCTCCAACTCTTGCAATCCCATCTCCATCTGGGAAGAAAAGGAATTTCTGCTCTCCTAAACAAGGGCTTTTTTTTTTTTTTTTTTTTTAAATCAGGGCTTCTGCATTCAACCCAGGTAAGTTTAGACGTTTGAACTTGTACAGGTAGCTGAGTCTCCTGAGTGTGACCTATTTAAACCAGGTCATTTTAAAAATGCTCTTTCAGGCGGGGTGTGGTGGCTCGCTCCTGTAATCCTAGCACTCTGGGAGGTGGAGGTCGGTGGATCTTTTGAGCTCAGAAGTTCGAAACCAGCCTGAGCAAGAGCAAGACCCTGTCTCTACTTAAAAAATAGAAAGGAATTCATTGGACAGCCTAAAATATACAGAAAAATTAGCGGGGCATGGTGGTGCATGCCTGTAGTCCCAGCTACTCAGGAGGCTGAGGCAGGAGGATCGCTTGAGCCCAGGAGTTTGAGTTCTGTGATGGCGAGTGCTGACCGCCACGGCCTCCAGCCGGGAACAGAGTGAGACTCTGTCTCAAAAAAAAAATAAAATAAAATGCTCTTTCAAAGCACTCCTAGCTGGGCAACAAAGTGAGACTCTGTCTCAAAAAAGAATAAGTAAATAAAAATAAAATGCTCTTTCAAAGTCTGATATATTTAATAAATAAAATCATCCTATGCATCTAAAAGGAAGAATACGAGATCTATGAAGTGAAGATCTATCCACTAATAGGGCACTCTGAACATTAAACTGGTGAAAGGAACAATCATCAGTTTCAATTCTTTTCTTTTTGAGTATCTTCCAGGGAATATGCTGATTTTAAATAAAATAGAACAGGAAGCCACATCCAGGCGGATTAAAACAAAATTACACCTCTTTTTTAAAAAAAAACATCAGTGTGCGGCGAGTTTGAGAGTCTCATGACCACAGGGCGATCAGGAAGCTGCTAGAACAATCGAGCGGAGTTTCAAAATGACTGGTACAGGAGTGCCCACAGAAGGAATGCGCGCCGGCGTTGCAGCTGCCAGCCACTCCTGCAAAAGCAGCCTGAACTCTGCGGCGCACGGGCTCACGCGGGGCCACCCTTCCGCGCGGCGCCTCGCTCGCGCGCCGGGCGACACGCTGGCGGGCGCGGGAGACGCAGGGCGCGCGGCGGAGCGGCGAGGCCGGCGGCTTTCGGGCGGCGTGACGTCACGGTTCCGCTTTCGTGCAAGTGGGCCCGCGCGGGACGAACTTCGCGCCGGCGGCCGGCGCAGCGAGCGCGCGGGAGGCTCCGGGCCGTCCCGCCGGGCGGCGGAATGCCCGGGAGGAGCGGCGGCGCGGGAAGCCCGGAGTCCACCTGTGCGCGCGCTCAGAGCCGGGCCCCGGGCGGGCGCGCAGGTGCTCGGACACGCTGGGCACGGCCGCGACAGGGGCGTCCGTCGCGCGCGCGGCTGCCCTCCGCGCCCTGGGCTGCGCGCCCGCGTCTTCTCGCCGGCTGCGGACGCGCCGGCGGCAACAGGCTCCGAGCGCGGCCGCGGCGCGCGGGGGCGGGGCCGTGTCGCGCGCCGCCGCGTTCCCTGCCCCGCCGCGCGCCGGGGAGGCGCGGCAGGCGGAGTCGGGATCTCTGCTCGGGGCCACTCCCCCCGGCGGCGTGGGCGCTGCCCCGGCGCGCGCCACACCGGCGGGTCACAGCGAGCCTCAGCTGCGGCGGTGCGGAGTCAGCCGCGCCGCCCCGCCCCTCCCCTCCGCCCCCCCCGCTCCGGCCTCCCCGCGCCTCCCGCCCCACGCCTCCCGGCTCCCCCCCCGCCTCCGGGCTCCGCCCCCCAGCCGGCGTCCGTGCTCCGCCGCGCCGCCCGCCGAGCGAACTGGAGGCGCGCGCGCCGCCGCCCATCCCGGCGGCATGCCAGGCGCCGGCGCGAGGTCGCGCGGGCTGGGCGCCGCACGCCGGTCTTCCGCGCCCGTTATACCGGCGCGCCGCCCGCGGAGCCTCGCCGCCTCTGCGCCTGCTTGCTCCCTCCGAAAGGACGGTGAGAACCGCGCGGCGCGCGGGGCGACCAGCCACCTGGCTCCCCCGCTCACCTTCTTCTGTCTAGGCCCATGGGTGCAGGGAGTGGACGCAGGCACAGCGGGCAGAGTAGATGAGGACTGGCACACGGGAAGGCCGACGCGCCTCGCGGGCGGCGCGCCGGTAAGCCCCACTTTCTGACAGTTGCGCGAGTTACGCCAGAGCCTTTCCCTCCGCGCGAGCGCGCGCACACCGGCGCGCACACGGAAACACCTCTGTGCCGCCGAGTCGAGAGAGAAAGCCAGCTCCCTAGGATTGGGCCGCCGGGCCAGAAGCAGCCAGAGCTCCCAGAGCCCGGCCCGCCGGGCAAACGGCGACCTCACCCGGGAGGCGAGGGCTGTGAGCCAAGGAAGGACAGACACCATCTCCAGGGCAGGTCAGCGGGACGAGGGCGAGACGGGGCGGGTGCCAGCAGGCAGCTGGCAGACACCAAGTACATCTTCCCGGATGTTTTGCTTAATGTAGCTAGAAGTTGACTTTAGGGAGGTGCGAGAGTTTGAGCTGTAGGGTTGGACCTGAACCCAAATCCCAGTTCCGCCACAGCTGCGGTTAGGCTAGCTGCTGGCTGGACCTCCGTTCTCTTGCCTGAAATGGGACCAAGGCGCACCTTACCGGACCGTGGCGAGGACAAAGCCGGACAGCGTCTGTAAAGGTGCTAGCACCGCGACACACACACACACACACACACACACACACCACACACACACGGCCTCAACCACAGGTGGCAACTGCTGTCACTGTGGCTGAGGAAGCGGCTCAGGGCCAAGGTGCCTCCCACGCCCAGGAGTGGTGCCTTCCTTGACGCCCCCACCAGGCGTTTGGAGGCTTTTTGATTAGGGCTATCTTTTTTTTTTTTTTCTTTTTCTTTTTCTTTTTTTTTTTTTGAGACAGAGTCTCACTTTGTTGCCCAGGCTAGAGTGAGTGCTGTGGCGTCAGCCTAGCTCACAGCAACCTCACACTCCTGGGCGCAAGCCATCCTCGCCTCAGCCTCCAAGTCTGGACTACAGGCATGTGACCATGCCCGCTAATATTTTCTATATATATTAGTTGGCCAATAATTTATTCTCTATTGTATAGTAGAGACGTGGTTCTCGCTTTGCTCAGGTTGGTTTCGAACTCCTGACCTTGAGCAATCCGCCCGCCTCGGCCTCCCAGAGTGCTAGGATTACAGGCGTGAGCCACCGCGCCCGCCGGATTAGGGCTATATTAAGGGATTCCCTGAGCACTTTGGATGCTCACATCTGGGGGAAGTATTTTAGGTGGACGAAAAAGTTTCATCCAGAGCTTGACTTAAAATTCTCACGATAGTGGAGCTATTATTTATGGAGAGATTAGTCTGTTGGGGATATTGTCTCTAATCCTTCCCCAAACTCTGTAGGGCTAAGATTATTAAATCCATTCAAGTAGTGAGAAAACGAATAATAGGTCAGTGTCTGTTGGGAGCTGCAGGGCCAGTAGGTGCAGGGATCTTCAAGAGCCCTAGCCCTTCATAACACACTTTCTTCCTGGCCACTGTGTAGCTTCTTGTAGGGCTTAGCTCATTCTTTGTCACAGCAGAGTGATTTGTATACTTAGCCTCTAATCGTTTTTAAAAAGAGGTGAGGAATAAATACCCTAATGAGTAGAATGTTTATTGGGTTATGGAAATTGTTCTTCTTTAAATTATAGGACCAGATAAACCAGTTAAACCATATTGTCAGATCATACCCTAATTATTTCATGTTTTTACCTTCAACTCTATTATATAGTTCTCTTTCCCTCTCTGCAGTAGCCTGCTAAACGCACTTGCCTCCAAGTGCTAGGATGTTGAGACAGGTCCATCATCATTCATTTTGTTGACACCCTAAACTGCTTTTCATACATAACCCAACATATCACCAACAACCTAGCCTGCCAGCCCCTGCTCCTGGGAAAAGGGGTTAGGCCAGGGCAACAGAGACGATTTTCTGGACTTTGCCTTCCAGCATCCTGGCCTGAGCCCTTCCCACCCTGCCGCTGCATTCCCTTTTCTTATTCCACACGCAGCGTCTCTGCTCTCCCTCTACCCACACCCTATTCCAGACTGCGGGCTTGGTACAGGCAGGCAGCCAGGTGGGGTGCCTAACCGGATCACAGAGGTAGGACACAGATGGGTGGGGGGCCGAGGCAGAACTATGCCCCATGTCTCTCATGGTGTTGAAATCTAGCAAGTTCCAGCTCCGAGACTTACACCTTAGTGCAAATGACCATTTGCCTCGACCCTAGCCTGGGTTAGGAAAGGGCCATGGCCTTGTGAGAAGCAGCAATTTCTGTATCACTTCTGTGATTCCCAGGGACAGGCAGCCCCCAGGAATGATAATAAGGGATTTTACAGTCCTTTTAGTTTCCTGGAAACAGAACTGTCTCTATCACATATAATAAGGATTTTTGAAACTGTCTCTTGCTGTACAGCATTATCTTAGAAATCGGAGGACAGCCTGACATTAGCCTATTGGCACTTCAGTTTCTGGCAGCTCAGAAAGAAATAATAAAGGGGACTTTGGAGCTGATGGTGATATGGGATGTCAGGATGAAGACTGTGACACAGGGAGGGGAGATCCACTTTGTCCCAGGTAAGAGCTAACCATTCACTCAGCTCTTTTTTTTTTTTTTTTTTTCACTGTCTCTTTGATCAGGTCTTTGTTCAAAATAAGCTGTCCAAAATGATTTTACCTTTATGGAATAAACAAATTTAAGAGTTTATGCAGTAGGCTTCTTTTCTTCTGTGGTAGGTTTCCTTTCTGCTGGCTTCTTTTCAGCTGCTGGTTTCTCGGTAGAGGCAGCCTTTTTTCCCACCAAAGGCTTTTTCTGCTTCTTAACACCAACAAGCGTTTTTCCTTTCTTCACTACTACAGGCTTTTTGCCTCCATCCCCCTTCTCATCAGATTTGGCCCGTACTGCTGCAGCTGCCTCATCCCCGAAGTTTGTGATTCCTGGCCTGGTGAAGAACGGCATTCCGGCGCGTGGTCTTTGCATATGGGTTTAGCTTCAATGTGGTTCTCAGGTTTTTCAGTGGATTCTTCTTCAGGACTCTGCAATGAATCTTCTTGCGTGGTGCTCGAAGAGCTCTCTGGATCTCTGGGCTTTTCAAGATTCTGCTAAGGTCCGTGTTGATCATCTTGTGCGTGGGAAGGTTGTAGTTGCTCTTGAGGGAAGCAGCTTTACGCCAAGTGCCATATAATTCATCCAACTTCCGGAAGGCACTTTCAGTCCAGATGCAGAAACGTCCCACATGTCCACCAGGAGCAAGTTTCAAAATGTTCAGCTTGCTTACGTTAAGCAGAGTGATTCCAGGGATGTTCCTGAAAGCCTAGATGATACCATTGTCCTCGTTGTAAATGATGCAGGGTCCCCTGCGCTGGACACGACGACGGCTTCTCATTTTGCCCTTGCCAGCCCTCATTCGCTGAGAGGCATAGACCTTTTTGATGTCATTCCAGGCCTTAAGTTTCTTAAGAAGCATAACAGCCTCTTTGGTCTTCTTGTAGCCTTCAACTTTATCTTCGACCACCAAAGGAAGTTCAGGAACTTCCTCAATACGATGACCTTTAGACATGACCAGCGCTGGTCAGGCTGGAGCAGCCCGGGCAGAGCAGGTGGCACACCGCTTTTGGGTGGTGTTCACTCTACGGTGCCAGCAACGCCAAGTCTTGGTTGGTGCAAACATGCGGCCCCACGACACATGTTTCCAAAAGCACCCTGGCCAGAACGGCGAGTCCCACCACCTCGAACTCTGGGAATTCTAGCCACAGCCCTGCCAGTACTTCAAGACTCTGATGACCTGCTAATTCACTGACAGCATAGTGCTGTCTGTTGTTTTTATGCAAGTTGGTGTGAACGAAGTTCAAACATCTGGTCGATGGGAGTCTTGAAGACTGCAGGCAAAGTGACATTTTTGCCAGAGGACTCCCCCTTTTCGGAGCACGCCGGTATCAGTGGGCGAGCACGAGCCATGGCGGGGAGACTCCGCTCAGCTCGTAACTGCAAGTGCCGTTGCTCCAGGAGGGAAGTAGCTCCTTCCCTTGATGCGTGAACACGGGACTCCCAGCAGAGCTGGCGAACCACCACGACCGAGGCGCGGGCCAGCGGGCTTGGTCACCACAACAAAAAGCTCTCTCAGGCCCCAGAAGGGCTTTCTGTTGGTCTGTCTTTAAGTCACCACCAACAAAACCATGTCGGGAACAGGGCCGAGCACTCCTGTGGTTCCGCTTCGGGCCCCTGATCTCCTGTGTGTGTGACCTGGGACACCTCCCCACAAGGGGCATTTGGTGGCATCGGTCACTGACCTGTTTGCTCAGTAAGTGGAAGCCTGTGGAGGCAGGCCACCATGGCCGCCACGCTGCCCTGTCTGGACAGCCGCTGCGCCTCAGCTGCTCCTAGAACCCTGCCACAGGCCATTCTTCTAGGGCTTCCCCTGGAGATTCTTTCCTAATTTGGTTATCTGCAGCATAACTCATTATTCATTGCCAAAGGCCAGGAATATTAATATCAGCTTTAAGATGGCTATGGAGCTCTAAAACATTGTGGACTATTGACGCCATTAAATCAAGTATAAAGCCCAGAAGCTGAAAAAAAATAGTAAGCATTTTACTTTTAAAATGTTAGGAGAACCATATATAAGTCTAGAATTAAAAGTCTTTGGTCAGCTAGGATTACAGGCTAGGATCACGCCTGTAATCCTAGCACTCTGGGAGGCCAAGGCAGGTGGATGGCTCAAGGTCAGAAGTTTGAAACCAGCCTGAGTGAGACTCCGTCTCTACTAAAAATAGAAATAAATTAATTGACCAATTAAAAATACATATACAAAATATTAGCTGGGCATGGTGGCACATGCCTGTAGTCCCAGCTACTCGGGAGGCTGAGGCAGGAGGATCCGCTTGACCCGGAGAGGTTCCTCCGAGGTGCCTGTGAGGCTAGGCTGCATGCCACACACTCTCTACAGGCCTGGCGCACCAAGTGCCGACTCTGTCTCAAAAAAGTCTTTGCAGCTCACGAGAGGTAAACTTCTAATAAATTACCTCCATTATTATTAAACTGTCACACCAGGTATTTAAACTGTTCATACAGAATCCTACCAACTATATTGATCGCCTAGATACCTTCTTATATCTAATTCGAAATCTACATAATCAGCCGTTCCTTAACTCACGTCCGGCCGCCTCTTTTCGCAACCCAAGCATCAAGCTGAAGGTGAAAATTACAGATTGCACCCTGCTAGAGCCCTAGGACAAGTGAGGCGCGTTTCGTCGGGCAACTGTTCCCATAGCTCGACTTGCGCTGGGTGACTCTCTCGGAGCCGCCTGGACCAGGGCGAGAGAAGGCAGGCCTGGGCACCGCGGGACGGGCTCCAAGATGGCAGAAGCCAGCATCTGCCTCCGGCGATGGGGGGCAGCGTGGGCAGCCGCCAGCGGGTCGCCGGCCCACGCAACCCACACACAAAACAAATCAAACCCAGCCATTAGGTGTATCGCCTCTCTAAAGAGTATCGTAAGTCACGCCAAACGTACTCTTACATCAACTATAAAATATCTTCATGACAGACTGATTGAAGTCAAGAAGTCCGAGACTACAGTCCACAATCGACTTGTCCACCAGCACTCGTCCTTGCGTTGCTTTCTGAAAGGCACTAGAATAAAATACTAGGTGTAAATAATAAATACACCAGCTGTCACCGATTTCTTCGAATTTCGCAACTTTAAACAAACAAAAATTTACTGCTGTGATGCAACTCCATGCTACAATCGGATGCAAGACAACATACAATCCACACAGTGTGAGACAGGCGGACTGTACACTGCTCCAGCTCGAGCAGCGCTTCTGTGAAGCCTCCGATCTCCTTTTATGGACAACAGCCAGATACAACTCTGCGCCTGGACCCACTTCGCTTCAGCAGCTCTCCTACTTTGTCATCCTCGCTCTGTGGCAAGCACTGCTCTGCGCTGCTTACACAGCACTGGGAAAGCAGCCAACACTAACACACAGGCACCAACACACAGACAAAGCTGAGCAGACACCTATCATTACCGACATCGCGACAAATCTAAAAAACACAAACACAAAACAAAAAGATAACATGTAACACATATTACCAAATAAGAAAGCTTTACCCAGACTGGGTAACGCTGCTAGCTCTCACTTCTCAGGACCACAACTGCCACCCGCGTGCCACTTGCGCACCGTCGTGCGTATCTCCTAGAATCCGCACTAGCCAGCTACGCTGCGGTCTGCTGCTTGCCCTCACCAGGGCCGCGCCCGGGACATGAATCTGGTACAGCCATTTGCGCCCATGTCCTGCTCTGCTAGAACCGCTCGCCTCGCTCCAGATGTTTCAACACCCGACGTTGAGTTTTACAGGTCACAGTTCGTCTAGCAATGGCTTAGGTAAAGGCTGGTGCCACAGGACCCCTTCCCCGTTTTCCGCATGCCTAACTCTACACTCCATGCAGTACACACTGCTCACGCCTTCGACTCTCTCGCGCCCCACGCACCGCGCTCCTGCTACACGCCACGCTCGCACGCCACCTCGTCACGCGGCTTTGCACTCCCATTCCTCCTTTCAGTACAGGCTCTCAGCAATATCACCGTTACCCCGCTCACTCTAGTTCCACTTTCTTCCAAGGCTTTCTCTCACAATGTCACCTTCCCATCGCAGGCCTTGCCTGACCGTCTTTTTTGAAAATGTACACACTCACACACTACACACACACACACCGCCCCCACTTACCCGTTCCTGCGCTCGTATTTCTCATAGCACTTTCTCCTCTAATCTCCTACACTGGCTCTTGTGTATCTTGCTTGCTCCTGTCCCGACCACCTTCCTTGGAGGCAGAGAATTTTGTCTGCTTTCTGTTTAAGGCTGTGTCTTCAATGCAGGTAGAATACCACCCAGCAACATAGCCGAGCGTCCTCAGTAAACGTGTGGCTGCAGCCGGGCGATGGCTTCACCGCCCTGTAATCCCTACGCACTCTGGGAGGCCCGAGGCGGGCGGATTGCCTCGAGGCCTTCAGCACGCTCTCGAACACTTCAACACTTTTCAATTCGCTCAGTGGCACTAGCCACCCACACTCACAGCTGCTCCGCTAAGTACCACATGCTGGCGAATCGGTGCATGCACGCCAAACAGCACCACTCTCACGGCTTTGACTACAAAGACCCAACACACAGCTCCTCGCTCATAATAAAGAACTTCAGGCAGGGCCAGTGCCACGCTCGTAATCAGGACTTCTGAAACGGCAAGGTGGGAGAAATCTCTGAGCCGGGAGTTTTGAGACCGAGCTGGGCAATATAGCAAAACCTGTCTCTACAAAATCAATAATTTAAAAATTCAAGCTTGGGCCACTGCTGCGCACGCTGCCTCCACGCTCTAGCTCACCGCGCCACCCTCGAAAGGCCTGAGGCGTGGGAGGAATTTACCTGAGCTCCAGGAGGTTACCTTGAGTGCGTCGCTATGCATCACCACTCGCACTCCAGCCATGGGCGACAGGTGACGACCCTTCATCTCATAAACAGAGACAATTTTTTAATGAAAAAGAAAGTTTTTCCGGCTTCCTGAATCAAATTTGCAATCTCGGGGAATACAAACAGAGACAATTGCCAGCAGCTAGAGTACAGCTTAAATGTAGCAAATACAGGACGGGCACACGGACTTGCACTATTAGACTCTCTTAAGCGCAAGAGTGATTGCTGATGAGCAAACGAAGGAAATAACTAAACAAACAGAAACTCTGCTCACATGTAGCATATAACTTAGAAAGGTTCCAAGGCCATTCCAAGGAGTTTATAGAAGGGAACATTACCGCATTCCACCACCGAAAATGTGGCCTTGAATCTTTCGCTTTCGAAAATGACTAGCTCCAGTCTATAGTCGAACAAGTCATGATATGGCTCTCAACTCAAGCATGTCAATAAAAATACATTTAAGAACGTCTAGACTATGTTAATAACTAATACTTTTGCTATGGATCATTCAAACCTTTTTTGTCGCGCTGCTAATCCTAGCTCTCTGGACGGCGAGGCGGGCGCGGCATTGCTCGAGTCAGGACATTCAAAACCACCTGAGCAAGAGGGAGACCAACCATCCTACTACTAAGAAATCAGAATAAATGAGCAGGCACTAGGTGGCACATGACTGTAAACGTCCAGCTACCCCGGAGGCCTGCGCAGGAGGATCGCTTGAGCCCAGGAGTTTGAGGTTGCTGTGAGCGAGGCTGACGCCACGGCACTCTAGCCCGGGGAACAGAGTGAGACTCTGTCTCAAAAATAAAAAATAAAATAAAATGCTCTTTCAAAGCACTCTAGCCTGGGCAACAAAGTGAGACTCTGTCTCAAAAAAAGAATAAGTAAATAAAAATAAAATGCTCTTTCAAAGTCTGATTATATTAATAAATAAAATCATCCTATCATCTAAAAGGAAGAATACGAGATCTATGAAGTGAAGATCTATCCACTAATATGGGGCACTCTGAACATTAAACTGGTGAAAGGAACAATCATCAGTTTCAATTTCTTTTCTTTTTTGAGTATCTTCCAGGGAATATGCTATTTTAAATAAAATAAGAACAGGAAAAGCCACATCCAGGCGGATTAAAACAAAATTACACCTCTTTTTTTTTTAAAAAAACATCAGTGTGCGGCGAAGTTTGAGGGGTCTCATGACCACAGGGCGATCAGGAAGCTGCTAGAAACAATCGAGCGGAGTTTCAAAATGACTGGTACAGGACGTGCCCACAGAAGGAAATGCCGCGCGCGGGTGCAGCTGCCAAGCCACTCCTGCAGAGCAGCCTGAACTCTGCGGGCGGCATGGGCTCACGCGGGCCACCCTGCCCACGCGGCCGCCTCGCCTCGCGGCCGGGCCGGCGCGGACACGCCTGGCGGGCGGGCGGGAGATGCGAGGGCGCGCGGGCGGAGCGGGCCGAGGCCGGCGGCTTTCGGGCGGCGGTGACGGTCACGGTTCCGCTTTCGTGCAAGTGGGGCCCCGCGCGGGGACGAACGTCGCGCCGGCGGCCCGGCGCAGCGAGCGCGCGGGGAGGCTCCGGGCGCGTCCCCCGCGGGCGGCCGGGATGCCCGGGAGGAGCGGGCGGCGCGGGGAAGCCCCGGAGTCCCTACCTGTGCGCGGCGCTCAGAGCCGGGGCCGGGCGGGCGCGCAGGTGCTCCGGGACACGCTGGGCACGGCCCGCACAGGGGCGTCCGTCGCGCGCGGCGGGCTGCCCCTCCGCGCCCCTGGGCTGCGCGCCCGCGTCTTCTCCGCCCGGCTGCGGACGCGCCGGCGGCAACAGGCTCCGAGCGCGGCCCGCGGCGGCGCGGGGGGCGGGGGCCGTGTCTGCGCGCGGCGCGCGTTTCCCCTGCCCCGCCGGCGAGCGCGGGGGAGGCGCGGGCAGGCGGGAGTCGGGATCTCCTGCTCGGGGCCACCCTCCTCCCCGGCGCGCGTGGGGCGCTGCCCCGGCCGCGCGGCCCACACCGGCGGGTCACAGCGAGCCTCAGCTGCGGCGGTGCGAGTCAGCCGCGGCCCCCGCCTCCCCAAGCGATCCTCCTGCCTCAGCCTCCCGAGTAGCTGGGACTCAGGCATGTGCCACATGCCAGCTA